TCACGTAATAATTGTTTTGTCTCGAATTTGAGGCTCTAAAATTCTACCATCAAATGAAAAGGAGAAGGAGGGCTCCAGAATTGAAGAGAAGTAGACTGAAGTCAGCAACTGCTTTCAGCGTTCTGCGTAGTACTGCTGAGGTGAAGGCAGAGGAGATGGCATCTGCAGGCATGAGGCAGAGGAGTCAGTAGCCTAGAGAGCATGAAGTGCAGGGCCCCAAAGACAGGGGTTGTAGGATCACTGCGCTAAGAAGGAAGAGAAGACTGGTGGTGGCTGGTAACTCCCTTCTGTGGGGGAGAGAAGCACCAATTTGTCATCCAGATTTGGCAGTAGGATTAAGAAATTTGAAGCACAAGTGGTGTTCTTGTCAATTCTTTCTGTGGAAGGTAAAGGTCCAGGCAGAAACCATCATATCCTGGAAGTGAATGCATGACTGAGACAGTGGTGTTGACTTGAATGCTTTGGCTTCTCTCATGATGGGAGGATGTTCTTGGTAATAGGACTGCTATCAAGAGGTTGGATCCATCTGATAAGAATGGGAAAGAGCATCTTTGAGTGTTTTCTGGCCAACCTAGTAAGGAGAGCTTTAAGCTAGGTTCCACGGGGTATGGTATTCAAAACCCTCCAGCAACAGATCACACAGTCCAAGGGAAAGGACTCAAAGAAGCAACTTAACTCTGGGAAAAGGCCAGAGAGCTATGGGACTACAACAAGTGGCACAAAAGGCAAGCAAGTAGGTCAAAAGTCATCTGAAGCATGTATACAAATGTGAGATGTATGGGAAATAAACATGATGAGCTGGAAGCAGCAGCTAAAAAGAACTATGATCTGACTGGCGTCACAGAGACCTAGTGGAACAGCTCTTATGACTGAAGTGTCAACATTGAGAATTACACTCTGTTTGAGAAAGACAGGGTTGGGAGAAAAGATGGTGGTTTTGCCTTGTATGTCAAAAACACATACACTTGTTCCCTGGTTCAGGAGGAGGATGAGGGCAAAGGAGAATGCATTTGGGAGAAGATGAAAAGTGAAAAATACAGCACTGATATAATGGTGGGGATTTATTATAGGCCACCAAATCAGAAAGATGGGCTGGATGAGGCACTCTTCAAGCAGATGACAAATTACCAAAAAGCTATGGGATGGTTGTGACAGGGCCCAGCTACAATGGCCCCGGTAGCCATATGGCCCCTGCTCCTCAGGATACCCTGCCTTTTTAACCTTTCCTGCCATACCTTGTGTTTCTTATGGAGTATAGGGAGGCTGCCCCAGAGTCCCAAAGTGAGCCCCAAGTCCCCAACCAGCCAGGCTCAGTCTTGCTCTTTATATTACTAGACTGTGGCTGTCTTGGCCCTGTCAGTGCCTTGGGGCACCACCCACCTTTTGAGCTATATTCATGGCCTCTGTCCTCCCCCATAGCCACACTCATGCGTTGTGGATATTATTCTGACAACATTCTGGACCCTTCTATAGGGGCCTCTGCCTTCCTGGCTTTATTGCAGAATATTGTTATTCTGGTGCAGACCTCTGGCTTAGGTCTACTTCTTCTGGCTTGGCTTTCTTGGCCTCAGCTCTCTCTGAATCTTGGTCTCCAGGCCACTGGCTCCAGTCTTAAAATTTCATTCCAACCCCCTGGAGTCCCTGACCCAGCCTAGGCGGCTCATTGTCTGGCCCAGTCAATGTTCCCAGGTTAACTCAGCCCCCCTGGCAACTCTGGCCCAGAGCATGGCTGTCCATAGCCTAACCCAGCCCCTGGTGCCCCAGCCCAGGGAAGGCTGTTCATGGTTTATCAGCCTGTGACCCCTTTAACTGGGCTCAGCCCCCTGAGTCCCTGTTTCTGCAGGGCTGCTATTCTCAGCCTCTAAACGGTTTGGGCTTCAGGTCCATGCAGCCCACTGGGTCCTAAACCCTTGAAGACTCTATACCAGGCTCCCATTGGGTATGCCATCGGCCTCCTGTATGTCCCTTTTAGCTATACTCAGTCCTCCAGTATCAACTTAAACACAACACAAATACAGGCAAATGCTTCCAAACAAAAAGTCTTTCTCCCTTTGAGCTCTCACTTACCAACTTGCATGGGTGGCTTGGAAGCTTTCCAGGCTGTCTCTTTTAGCCCCTCTCCCACTGGATCTCTGCAGCTTGCAGGGCCAGACTGCCTGCCTGGCTTCTGACACTGGGCTTATATGTCCTGGACCACTGTCCCTTTTGACCAGGTGACTCCCTAGTCGAGCACAGGGGTTTCCTGTTGTGCGTAATAGTCAGTCTGCCCTTCCCTACTGCACATCTGGAAGGACAGTGAAGCCATACATAAAATGTCAAGCCAGTTCCTAACTTGTGTGGACAACAACTTTCTGTTTCAGAAGGTGGAGGATACAACTAGGGGATCACCTTTCTTGGATCTTTTCCTGACCAACCGGAAAGACCTGGTAGAGGATGTGAAAGGGGTGAGTAACTTGAGAGAAAGTGAATATGATATGATAGAATTTTAGATCCTGACACAGGGAAAGCATGAGGTCAGCAAAATTAGGATGCTAGACTTCAAAAAGGCAAATTTCATCTAACTCAAGGATTCAATAGGCACAGTGCCATTGGAAGATAGACTGAAGAATAAAAGCACCCATGAGGGTTGAGAACTTCTAAAGAGCACAGCATTGGAAGGCCAAGAAACTGTCCCAACATGGCAGAAGCAGAAGAATGGCAAGAGATTGATATATCTGTACAAGGAGCTTCTAAAATGCCTCAAATGCAAAAGGAAAGCATGCACAGTGGGCTAATGGGCAGGTCACCAAGGAAGTGTACCAGGAAATAGAAGAACATGCAGAGACAAAATCAGGAAGGCAAAGACAAAGAATGAGCTGCACCTGGTGAAGGAGGTTAAGAACAACACAGGTTCTATAAGTATGTTGGCTGGAAAAGAAGAATGAAGGAAGCTGTTGGTCCACTGTTAACAATTCAGGGGGAACTCCTAACAGAAGATAAAGTTGGCAGAACTACTCGACAGCTACTTTGCCTCAGTCTTCACAAAAAAATTGAGCTGCAGCTAGATACCTAATAAGGAATATCTGAATAGGGAAGGAGGCAAGATGAGGGACGAGATAACAAAAGAGATGGTCAGCAAGCTTTTGATAGGTCTGAAAGAATTTAAGTTATGCATGGCTGGATGAACTTCATCCCAGGGTACTGAAAGAACTGGCAGAGGAGATCTTGGAGCCCTTGCAAATGATCTTCATGAAGTTGTGGGAGATGGACGAGGTTCCAGAGGACTGGAAAAGGGCCAGCATAGTGCCCCCCTTTTAAAAAGGCAAAAAGGTGAATCCAGGGAAATACAGACCAGTTAGCTTCACCTCAATATCTGAGAAGTTACTGGAGCATATCCTAAGGAAGGCCATGTGCAAGCATATGGAGGAGGAAAAGCTGATCACAAGCAGCCAGCATGGTTTTATAAAGAATCACATCAAACAAACTTGATCTCCTTTGACAAAGTAACTAATTGGGTGGATGAAGGGAATGCTGTTGGATGTAGTGTACTGGACTTCAGTAAGGCTCTTGACACAGTCCCACACATCCTTCTCATAAACAAATTGGAGAAATGTGGGCTCAGCGAACTTCTTGTAGGTGGATAGATAACTGACTCGATAGCCTCAAGCAAAGGCTTAGGAAGAATAATCAAAAACACGTATATTAAATGAGTGACGCCTGGCTCAATGGAAACACTCTGGAAAAGGATTTAGGAGTCTTGGTAGATCACAGACCGAATATGAATCTGCAGTGTGGTGCAGCCTCACAAAAGGTGAATGTGGTTTTGGGATTCATCAATAGATGTATTAGGTGCAAGATGCAGGAGGTGATGGTGCCTCTGTTCAACACTAGTTAAGCCTCACCTGCAGTATTGTATGCAGTTCTGGACTCCACATTTTTAAAAGGACACAGAGGCATTAGAGAGGGTTTAGAGGTGGACAAGAAGGATGATAAAAGGCTTGTAAAGCAAATCATATGAAGAGAGGCTGAAGGAGGTAGACATCTGTAGCTTGTGGAAAAGGTACTTAAGAGGTAACATGATTATAGAAAAGCTTTGGCTGAGATGATCTAGTTGGGGCTGGTCCTTCTTTGAGGAGTGGGTTGGACTAGATGACCTCCTAAGGTCCCTTCCAACCCTAATTTTCTACGATTCTATGTCAAGGTGTTTTTATGCTTCCATCAGAGGCATTGGGCATTGGCTACAGCAAAGACTGGAGATTTTGACTTGGAAATAGCCATGCTCCTGCTGGGACCAAAGCTGGAGGTTCCTGGCTGGAAGGTCTTACTGGGAGGTGATATTGCATTTCTATTTGGCACTGGTTAGGTCTACTCAGGTTAGACTGATTGCCATATTTGGGGTCAGGAAGGAATTTCACCTCGTGATCAAATTGGTAAGGACTGTGGGATTTTTTGTCTTAATCTGTAATGGGGGTTATGGCCCTCTACCTGGGATCTCTTGAGCATTGACAACCTTTTATAGAAGCCAGACATTGGTTGTCATGGTTCCCCTGTGAGAATCATCAATAGAAGCATTAGGTGAAGATGCAGGAGGCGATAGTGCCTCTCTATTCAGCACTGGTCAGGCCTCATCTGGAGTATTGTGTTTAGTACTAGATTCCACATTTTTAAAAGGATGTGGAGAAATTAGAGAGGGTTTAGAGATGGGCAACAAAGAGATAAAGGGTTTGGAAGGCAAGTCATATGAAAAGAGGGTGAAGGAGTTACGCATGTTCAATTTGTGGAAATGGTGCTTAACGGGGGACATGATAACATTCTAGGGATGATCCTGCCTCAGGCAGGGGCTTGGACTAGGTGACCTCTGGAGGTCTTTTCTAGCACTAATTCTCTATGTTTCTATGATTATGATTCTGTGATTTCCATCAGTTGAAGATGTTTATTTTAGCTGTTTTTTAAAAATAAACTTGAATTTTAGAACCTGTGGTTTTATCAAAATCAACATCTATTTGATTTTGTTGTTCTAGGTCACTAGGATGCATTTTATACGAGATGTGCTGTATGGGTCATGCATTTACTGGACACAATTTTTTGTCCATTGTGCTAAAAATTGTAGAAGGTGACACACCTTCTCTTCCTGACAAATACCCAAGTAAACTGAATGCAGTTCTGAACAGGTATGGGGTTTTTTTTTTTGGTTTAATGTAAGTGCTTAATTAATTTGGAAAATAACTGAATTAGCTTTTTTTATTTTTTTTAATATTTCAGCATGCTAAACAAGAATCCTTTATTGAGACCGTCAGCAGCAGAAATTCTAAAAGTCTCCTACATTGATGAACAATTACAGGTATTTCAAAAAGCAATAGACATACATTTTAGATATGCATATGTATGTTGAAAATGTGCTGAGGAAGAAGAAAATGTGTGAAAAAGATGAGTTCCTAGTGCACTTGTACACGTTACAAAATTGGCCTTTTTAAGTTTAATTGCATCACAGTTTATACCTGCGGCAGTGTATTACAATTCAATTTTATCACACTGTGCATGTGCAGTGGCGTATTTTGATTTAAATGACTTTGTTACATAGCAAAGTAAAACACATCCAATGTATTTTAGTTTGCTGCGTAACGAATTGCAACAATACATCCGAAGAAGGCGGTGGGGATGGTGTACAGGGCACTGGAAGCCCAGGTGTACTTGGGGAAGCTCAGGCTTGGTGGGCTTCCAGCACTCCATGCACTATCCCCACCTTGTTCTCTGGCTGCCAGCACCCCAACCCCTGTCCTGCTGCCTTTCTGCAATGCCTCAGGGGCAAGCCAGTCTGTTCCCAGGTGGTTCCAGCTGGCAGGAAGGTGGTAGAGACAGTGCATGGGGCGCTGAAAGCCTGCCAAGTCCAAGCTTCCCCGAGCACAGCTGGGCTTCCAGTGCCCCGTGAACCTTTGTATCAGGCTAGGTGCTGCCTGCAAGCTGGCAGAGCACCCACACAGCTAGCACCCCACCAGGGCAGCCATGGGGAGCACAGCTGTGGAGGGAGGGACTGGGCCCTCTTCCATGACCCCAGGACAGCTTGCGCAGACAGGTTACACCAGAAAAGAAAAAAACACTGGGGGTCCGATCCCTTTTTTTTTTTTCCCTTGCCTCCACAGAGCCTGCCTGCCTGTCCCGCAACTGGGGGTTGAGCTGCTGGCAGTTGCTGAGCTGCAGGGAGACCTAGTCATTCCCTCCATGGCAGTGGCACCCCTCCAGGTGGCACCTGCCCACTAGCAGCCCACCCAGGCAGCCCCAAGGGGTGCCTCCACTGCAGAAGAAAGGACTGGGGACTGCACAGCTCAGGGGCTGCTCAGTCTACCGGCAGCTTGCCCCTTGGTTGCATGAGATGTGGGCAGGCTCTGAGGGAAAAAAAAAAGAAGAAAGGATCAGGCCCCTCACTCTTTTGTTTTTTTGTTTTTTTTGCCAGCAGACCCTGCCTGTGTGAGCTGCTGCCAGGTCTCACAGCCCCTGAGCCGCAGGGGTGGTGCCCGGTCCTTCCCTCCTCAGCAGCAGCGGCCCTTGGGGCTGCCCGGGCAGGTTACTAGTGGGCAGGTGCTGCCTGGGGTGGGTGTCGTCACTGCACGAGGGAAAATTGAGCCCGCCTGTAGCTTAGGGCCTGCACTGTCGCAATTAAAAACCCACCGTTTAATTTAATTTAAACCCCCATCATGTGTACTAGCACCCCTATAGGCACAAGCCTCTCCAGGTAAAGAGGAGGTGAAAATGAAAGTCTTTGTCACTTTCTGAACTGAGAGGACTCAGTTTGAAATTTTAAAAGCCATAAAAAGAGCAGACATTTGTACAATGCAGACTAGTGGATTAACAGTGGGTGGGTAAAAGAAATCCAGGGACTAGGGTGGTTTGCTTCATTGGTAATGAAAACACATTCTAGAAAACAGCTTGCTCTTTGGCTCCTTGTTTTTCTAGAGTATATATTACTGATAAATTGTTATATCATTTTAACTGACTCTTGGACCATAAATGAAGCTGCTGGATCATTATAATACTATTACTTGTCAATATTCTATTTTATTTTCTTTCAGAATTTCAAATGCAAATTCACAGATATAACTATGAAGGACAAGACACTTAATTGTCAGAAGGAAGCTGCTCACATTGTTGATGCTGTGTAATTATTGCTTTGTTTTTCTTCGTAATAGTACAAAAAATGGGAGCATTGCTAAAGACATTAATGTCTGAATTTAAACATTTAATTTAAACTAATTGAACCATACTTTTAAAAGGGATTTTTACTCAAAAAGTGTATATGCTGTCAAGTGTATTTGTAAAGGATTTTGAGATCTAAGTATTTTTATTATTCTTTTACGTGGAAAGTATAGAAGTTCCCATAATGGCTGTATTCCCATTCCCATATTGGCAGGTGCAAATTTGTTACCTACAGGTATTTGCTCATGCAAATATAATACTTGTTGACGTGGTTAAATTATTCCCACTCATAGAAACAAGTTAATGCACATTTTTTTGGTAATCTTATTCCAGCTTCTTCATTAGCTATGCAGTTATATTTAGATTTGACATTCCACTTTGCTTTTTACTATTCCACTTTTCTTTTAAAAAGCCGCTTCATTCCAGATCAGAGCTAGCAATATCTCAATTGTTAGGAGATCTGCCATCCATTACTCTCTTTTTTTCTTGCCTTGCCTGGATCTTAATTAGCAATTTCAGATTTCTCTGAGAGCTTAGATGATAATCAGTAGAGAGATGTAAGTTAGGGCACAGACAGAAGTGATATTTGTGTGCAATCTGGGCCCTGAAAGTACTCTACAGCTGTGACCTAACACACGTGCAAAGCTGCAGAGCAATTCTAAAATAGCCAGTTGTGTGAAAAATGAACCCTCATTCAATCAGGCAAGATATTAAGGCACTCTACTTTAACGTGCCTTAGGGAACTTGAGGGTGAATTTTTCATGCAGAAGTAGGGCTGGGCCGATGCAGGCAGCAGCTCAGCTCCACCCCTGGTGTTGTCAGCAGAGAAGGGAGTAAAGGGAGCAGCAGCAGCTGCTATGAGCTAGGGGGTGGGGTGTGAAACAGAGCCCCTTGCCTCATGACACACACCAGCTACCCCAGCTGGGGTATTGTGGAGAGCTGGGAGGTGGGCCTCCAAAGTAAGGGGACTCCATTTCACCCTGCTTCCATCCTCCCCCCAGCTCCAGGTGGGCCTCTTGAGAGCGGCAATAGCCAAATTATCATCACATTTTAGAACTTTACCTTTGAAACCTCTCAAATCTTTCTGAGTCAGCCTCAAGTGATGGGCCTCTTGAGGCTGCCCCTGATTCCATAAGAAATCTGTCCATGATTTCCATAAGAAAATAGAGCCATCCATAGAAAACCAAGAAACACTGAGCTTGTTTCAAGATCCATATTGGAATGAAGCTAAATACAAATGGTGATGCTGTACAGAGAGAGCAGAACAGTGCCACCTGGGGTGTAAGTGGGGGCACTGCTTAGAGCCCTATACTCAGGGCTTTCTGGTCCATGGGAGTTCTATAATTTTTTCTCCCCTCCCACCCTAGCCAAATGCTGCCTGCATGTCCCAGCCATCACCTGCCTATTCATTGGTCACCCTGAGCAATACTGTAGTTTAGATTATCCCTTGCAGAAGCTACAGCCAGCTTGTTTTCTACTTGAGATGTTTTTTCACTGTGGGTCAAGCTCAGTCTAACTTTGTTTTCTAGTAAAGTTTAAGTACTTAAACGAGTATAAACCTCTACAAATTCAATCTCATTTTGAAAGAAAAAAAATGCCTTTGTTTCCCAGAGGTTCTTAAGTTCTGGTACAATGCATAAAAATATGCCCAAATTATTGTGGTAATTCTTTCAGGGTTCATTCCAGCCCTATTAATAATTGAAATCTTCTTGTCTTTTTCCTTAGTGTTATATATTTCCTAGTACCATTTATATCCTTCTAATATTTTTCTTTGGGTTCAATATTGTAGAAACATGGTGAAAGCTGCTCTCCTCACAAACATCCTGATATTTCTGAGAAAATAGTCTGCAAAAAGCTATGAATTTTTTGAGAAACAAAATTAAACTTGTGGATGATCGTGCATTAGATAAATGAAGACATAGCAGCTACATCTTGAATTTTGAAAACAAGAATACCTACTTGAAATGTATACACACATTTCAGTATTGCAAATCCTGAGGATATGTATATATGATTACCAAACTACTACAGAATTGCAGTTTCATTTTTATAATAATTGTAGGCTGTAAAATGAAGTCTGGAATCAATATACTTTTCAGTTAGGAGATCTATACAGTATCAGAGATTGATTTTTTTGTTTTTTTGTTTACAAATACAAAGGAAGTTCTGGAATAGGTATGCCCATAGTTCTTCTTTTAGTATTCATGGATAAATTTAAGGAGACCATAAAGTCATTAAAAAATCACTGCTATTCTGTGTGACCAAGTGAATGGTGACAAGCAGCATAAAAACGAAGTACATGACTATTAAAAATCCTGTGAAAAGTACATCAATATTTTTATTTTTCTATCCATGTTTAAAATTGAGCATTAAAAATTACAGTTTTCAGAGCTTTACTAGTTGCTTGTGATTTAAACTGAAGAGCAGAATTTATGCTTTTGATATAGTTAATAATAAGTCAGAAGACAATTTTTTGCCAGTCTGCTTCTGTTTATTTTCCTAAAACATTGTGTTCCTCTTTGTCCATTTTCTTCTGCATTATCTAAAATGTCTTGTGTAAAATGTTTTAGGTTTAAAGGTCTGAGTTTATATAACTCAACAGTGAAAAGAATTCTGATATAAAACTATTATAATGTAAACAAAGCTCTGGTTAGATTGTTATATTAGCTGTGACTTCCTAATTATTGCTTTTAAAATGTCTACTTTTTTCAGTAACAAATGTATGTGAGTTTTATATATTGTTGTTTATATCTTTGTATAAATGCAAGCTTGCATGCACTTATTTTTAGGCAGAAAAAAGTCCATTTGCAAACTCTGCGGGAGCTGTCTGAGGTACAGAAAATGACTCCACGGGAACGAATGAGGCTGAGGAAATTAAATGCTGCAGATGAGAAAGCAAGGAAGCTTAAGTAAGATGCATGACATAAACATGTTCTCCCCATGCATTCCTTCACTGTTAATAATTTACCAAGAGAGTACAAAATAAAAAAAGTCACCCCTGTTGCTTCTAAGCAGATCCTTCAGCTACTGAGGGGTGAACGATATGTTAGTTACATTATTATTATTGCTCAAGTAGGGAGAAAAGTTGGAAAGTTAACCCCAAACTGCATTTCAGATACCAGCTTTTTTACTAGATCCATATGCAAGAAATCTTCATATTCTTTTTCTATGAAACTTTTTTTATAACCGGCTCATTAAATAATCACTCTAGAAGTTATCCATTTAGCTGTGATCAAAGTTCTAGCTTTTGAGGAAGCTGTCAATTATTTTGTCATCTGAGACTTGCCTACACTGGTAGGGGAGATGTTGTTGCCATGATGGTCTAAGAAATATACGAGGCAGAGGTTTTTTTTTTTTTGCTTATGTCTTTTATTGGAACAACTGTATAGCTGGGAGAAGTGTTAGACCTCTGGGGTGGAAGGCAATTTGGACAAATAAAAGATACCACCAAAAAATTCCTTGTTTCTACAGAGGTAGAAATTAATAGCCCTGGAAGATCAGATGTGATGAGATAGACTAATTAAGCAATCAAATGCAATGGTGATGGGTGTGGCTTACAATTCTTACCATACTTTGTTTTCCCTGAGAAATAAGAGAGATTGTAATGGGGAGAACAGTATATACTCTTTGTGGGAACAGTATGTGGAAGTCCAAGCTTCGTTATCAAGACTCCACCACAGAATAAAAAGAAATGTATTATATTGCTGATCCAGGTTTGTTTTTTCCAATGAAAACTTTTGAACTCTTTAGTTAATATGAAAGAAAACCAATAGAAAAACCACCTTCTATGATGGGTAACTCATTTTGAGATTCTATGGGGCACTCATTTAAAAATTCTCTTCAAGCAGTTTCTCAAAGTTCAGTTTATGTTAATAAATATATTTTATTTGCAAAATTTAAGGGAGCAGTTAATTGTTCATGTCTATTAGGATCAAAACATTAATACTACCATGCCAAAGCAAGCATTCATTTCAATTTAGCAATAACATCCTATTACAATAAAAACTACAAATATGTAAAGAAGCTGTGGGTTGATGTCCCCATAGAAAAAAAATAGTTATCAGCATGTGTGTTTGACAAAGATCAAATTTAACAATAGGGGTTAAAAATTACAGCTGGGTTTGGAGGCACTAATTATTTTTATATGGACATTTATCCTCATCCCAATAGAAATTATTCTCATTGGAATGACAGCCACTGTTGAAAAGCTATTGGAATTTCACACTTCTGATATTATTTGTGGGTGGTGTTTGAAATTTTGAATAATGTGCTTAACTAGGACAGGCCAAGATGCAAATTTATGGGAAAATTTATAAATAATAGGTTAGCAAAACCACCAAGCTTTTTATAGTTTTGAGTTAGGCAGTAATACCAAATGGTCAGATTTTAGCTTGGTTGTTCATGGAATTTTCCTTTCCATCAGAAAAAATAAGTATATCTGTTCTGTAATATAAAAGTGATAAATCTATGTCCATATTCATCTTTGAGATATGTTTCTTGCAGACAGCAGAGCAGGGGTGGGCAATTGTTTTGGGTAGAGGGCTGTCTATTGAGGTTTGGTGAGCTGTCAAGGGCCACATGGGTAGCCCCACCCCTTGAAGTGTTGCTCCATTCCCTGGTCACCATCTTGGGACCAGAAGTTCCAGCCCTAACCCCTGACCTTTACCACCAGAAGTCCCTCCCCTCACCCCTTGGAAATACTCCTTTTGGGAGGGCGGGTTGCCATCTTAGAATCAGAAAAGAAACAAGATGTCAAACATCTTGTACTGTAACATATTTTACTTATTTCAAAAAATACTTTTTCATGATTTGGGTTTGTGTAATGTATATAGAAGTGGTTGCATTATAACTCAAAAATAAATTCTTAGCCTTGTATATTGTGGGGGGGGATGTATGGTGGGGGCATGTGGGGCAGGAGTGGGGAACTTGTGAGGGGTTGTGGCTGTGTGTATGAGGGGCATAGGGTATGTTAGGGGTGTATATGTGGGGTGTTGTGGGGGTAGGGTGTGGGTGTGTGGCATATGGATGGTGTGGGGACCCCCCCCCTTGCCAATATCCCCTCATGGCGCAGCAGCAGCTGGCAATGGTGCTTAGGGCACTGGTGCCCGATGGGGTGCAGCTCTGGCCAGCGCTGCACATGGTGGTAAGAGGCAGAGCCTCCTGTGGGTAGCCTATCACCAGTGTTCCCCACCATGCATGCGCACTGGCACAGCACAGGAGGGAAGCCCCAGGTGCTAGAGCCAGCTGCCTTCTCTCCTGGGGCTGTGCAGTATGGGAGGGAAGCCCCAGGTGTCTTCCCCTGGTATGTGGGGAAGGCAGCTAGCTCCAGCACTATCTCTGATTTCCTGAATCAGCAACTTCAAGTGATCCCTTGTGGGTCACATCTGCTTAGTTAACCCTTCCTGAGAGAATGTTTAGAATTTTCAAACTATGCCTGAGTTTCCCCAGGGCAGAAGCATCCCAGGAACACATGGTGGAAAATAAAGTTCACATTATTTAAATTGTTCTGAAGAAATAAAGCTGGCAAAGGTTTGCTAAGGAAATCACGTGTCACCTCTAGATTACTGTATACAAATTGTGAAAATAAATATAATAAATTCAATAAATAAGAACTAAATACTGTCTGTAAGTGCATCCAAACAACACCTGTAGGGATGACAGCCCTATTCCTGCTTGAACATTTGGCCCTACTGCAGTTGATTTTTAAATTCCAGATATTTGTAATGCAGATGGTTGAATACATATACTTTGTATTTGCAGACAGCTGGCAGAAGAAAAATATCAAGAAAACTTAAAAAGAATGCAAGAACTGAGATCCCGTAATTTTCAACAATTGAGTATAAATGTGCTTCATGTAAGTGATGTTATGATGTTTTAGACCCACCTGCTCAAACCAAGTATTTTTCAGTTTCTCTCGCACTTGCAGAACCATCAGCTAAATCCTGCTCCCTGATAAATAGTTTGGTCGTGCTTTGAAATCTAGAAGACTTAGCTGAAATGGGTTCCATTTTGGAAAAAGTTTCTTCAGTAGCACAAATAAGCTTCAACAAATGTCTTTAACTGGCCTAATCAGACAAGGTTCTTTGGGTAAATCCGATATTTTTTATTAGACGAAGTCAAATAGTTGGGAAAATTTTTCTTTGCAAGCTTTCAGGCACAAACACCCTTCATCAGACTGAGGAAGCGTCTGCAAATGGTCTCTGCTCTTCCTGGATGGAATGGTAAAGCAGCCAGATGCCAGTACTATGCAAAAAAGCCAGTCAGTTAAAATGTAAATTGAGGTGATTGATAGGTGAAAGAGGGGAGGAGGGGGGAAGGGAGAATGAATATAGCTGTAATCAAAGGATCAGAGATGGGAGGAGAAGGGGGAAGGGAATGAGAATTAATTGGCCTACTGGCTTTTTTTTTACCGTAACTCATTCTTACCCACTGAAATTTTGAACCTATTCTCTGTATCTACTCCAGCCCCAAATGGAGCCATCGTTCAAAATAAATTAATTTCCAGGAGAGTCTTAAGATGATAATTCCTCAAATATCATATTGGCTAGGGACAGACATTGCACATAAACCTGTATAAGTGATTGGAAACTGGTTTAAACCTGTAACAGAACAGAAGTTCAGTGCTCATAGACCAGTTTTAGAATGGCTGAAATGGTTTATGATCACCTGAATGGATGTAGTATCAAACTTAACTGATTTAAGTTAAATCGGTTTATCAAACTTCTGCTCCAGATCCCCTCCCAACACAAGTTACATCTTGGTCCCCAGGCATCCCAGGATGCACTAACCCACCCATCCCCCCTTGCAGGTTGGGTGACCTAGCCTGTACTTCAGTTTGTTTGCTCCAGCTGTGCCAGGTGGCCCTGCCCTTGGATGCCAGAGAGCTGAGGCTCTCCCTAGCCCTGTCCGCAGTGGCACGGCGGTGCCACGGAGGTGGTTGAGGGGGGGAAAGGACCCCCACCCTGGTCCTGGCTCCCCCCAGCCAGGGTCTGCACAGCAGGTGGGAGGAAAATTCCTGAGGCAGGGGCTTTCTCTCTTGCAGTGCTGCTCCCCCCGGCAAATGCCCCAGCTTAGAGAAAGCTGTGTAGATTGAGTCAATTCTGCCTTGGGCTTTTTGACTGTCTGTACCTAGTCATTGTGATGGGATTGTTGCTTCCTTTTATTTATTTAGCTAAGATGATTACTTTGGACTTTCCATCCAGCTTTTAGTAAGAAAGAAATGTTGGTGTTCCTCCCCCCAAAAAAATTTCATTTGGTCTTAAGATATCTGCAAGAAAAAAAATAGATCCTGCACTTGTGTTACAGCTTATCAGAGAAGCAGTGAAACAGTCTGAAACAATGCCTTCTTGTTTAGAGCTTTATAGCTCTATTCTGGCCTGGTTGTTTCATTTTGGTATCCTACTGTCTCTGCTGAAATAGTTAATTTTAATGTGTCCTCATGAAATATCAGTGACTTTCGATCAGTTTTTTTTAAAAGTCTTGTTACAAAGAACGGCTGCTTATCATAAGTGCCCAGCACTTGTATGTATCAGAGTATCTGTCACATTGCAGCCAAACTGAGAGCTTCTAATCATTTACATTATCAATGTTGCTTCAATTAAGGAATGTGATGAACAGACTTCAGAGCCTTTGATTCATTCTCAGCCAGTCACTGCACTGGACTATGTATCCATAGGACATGATGAACCAACTGAAAATGAGGCCCCAAACAGACTTTGTATGTCTGAACCTGTGGACCATGGTAAGAATTTGAAAATTTTTGTTGAGCCAATTAGTTTCTATTTAAAATCTCCTAATATTAAACTATACCCTTGTTAACTGGTGGCAGAGAAATCCTAGTCAAAAAAAAAAAAATCAAAGTTACAAATTTGTTACAAAACCTATAAAAAGGGATGGAAAGGACCTGGATGGATGTTATGGTGGAAATGCAGTGGAGAAGTATGAGGAATCTATGTTTTGTGAGTTTGGAAAGGTGGAAGCATCAAAGAAGTTGTCCTTCTCCATGCATGGGGGAGAATTAGGAGGGAGACAGTTTTTATCCTGATTCCTTTAGGTGAGTTGTGTTGGAACAGAATTATTCTCAACAGTCCCCAGCTGCAAGTTCCTTTTAAGAGCATGTAAGGCATGTGCAGTGTTAATGCATGATGGTCTTATGTGGCAAACATCGTATCAGAGTGAGAAAGTTAGATGAAAATCCTTTGAGGCTTGATTGACTGAAAATGCTTAGCCACTCTCTTGGAAACATGAAAGCTTATGAAACGTGTATTATTTGTGGATGGATGAACAAATGGAGAGCTTGATCTTGCATATCTGGTAGTAGACAGTGAAAACAATGGCTAATGTGCCTGCTGTCTAGTGTGATGCTACCTATATCTGCATTCTGTTTTTATGGGCCCCTCTACACATGCAGGTAAATGCATAATGGGATCTAATGCATGATCTATAGAATTGTCTCCTGCCATGCCACATGTGGATTAGATCCCATCACACCTTATTGCTGGTGCTGGGGGAGCCCAATCCTGGGCACCCTTTGAACCAGCAAGAAGCAAGAGCCCATGGCCGGGAGCTCCCTAATTGGGGTGGGGTAGGGGGGGGTGGCATGAAACCCCCAGGGCTGGGGACGTGGTTGCCATGATTCCTCAGGTTTGAGGCTGTATAAAACCCTGAGGGCTAAGGGATCATGGCTGTCACTATCACCCAGCTTTGGGGGTGTGATCTCCTAGCCCCAGGGGTTTTACATACCTCCTAGGCTTGGAAATTGAGGAAGCTGCAGTCTCCCAGCTCTGGGAGTTTCATTCATCCCTGGGGCAGCTGAGCCCCCTGGCTGCTGGGACCCAACTGGGTCCCAGCACACAGTGTCTGTGGGAATCTGAGTCTCTGTGCTACTGGGACCCAGAATTGGCAGCTGTCGGGGATGAGACCCCTCAGTTTGCAGGACTTTCAGCCCCAGATGGGCATGGTGCACTCCTAGGATTCGGAGCCCCATCAACTGATGGGGCTTCCAGCTGCAGAGGAGACCCTGCTATACATGCAAATAAAAGCACAATAGGAGCCAGCTATAATGTTAATACATGTTTTCAAGGTCTAACTTCATAGCTGGTTGGAGCTTTTTATGGCATGCTATAGCTACTTTGCACGTGTAGCTGGTCTCAGGGTCATTGCACAATTAACCAGCAGAATAATATACTTCAATTTTTAATATTCAGAAATCCTTGTGTGCTTGTTGCTGAAAACTGCAGTCTTCATCTTACTCATAGAATAGGCATGTTTCAGTGCCAGTGTAAGTTTCCTGCCAGTGTGTTTATCCCTAGTTTTTAAGGAACACTTCTAAAGCTGATATAGTTCAGTTTTCATGTTCGTTCAGTCGTCCATCCTGCTGACCTTCCAACTTTGGTGAAAACTGGATTGTTAGATTTTGTCATGTTGGTACCTCTGTTGGAAACAGCTACTAAAGATAAAACTCTTCTGTTTTGGCATTCAATCAGGCCTATAAAGAGTAAAATTAAAAAGGAACATGTATATGAAATATTAATATGCATAATATATGAAGTAGGTTATCTCTGCAAGTTCAAAGGTTCTAATTACATTGTAAATCATTTCTGTGATGTATTAACTTTTGCAAAACCTGACCTCTGTGATTAATCAGTTTCATATATTTTCTGTGAATTGCAGCTTCTTAATATATTCTCTGTTTGAAATGTTGTTTCAACATTTATGTAATATTTATATATAAATATATGCATTAAATGTATGAATAGTTAAAACTATTCAAGCTACTTTTCACTGATTGCTCTGGCTTTTAATGTTAATTGATATACATCAAGAAAGGGGTGTGGATATATATAATCAGATTAGGAACATCAAAACTATATGCTTTAGCATTTGAACAAACAGGTAATAGAAAATGGCTTTTCACTTTCATTGTGGCTGCATTGATGCTTGTTATGGTTGACTTGCTCTTTCACAGTATCAAGAGAGATGATCTGTGAGAGAGAAAATGTAGCTGCTAGCAAGTATCTCCAAGGGAGAGAGAGACAGTTCAAATAAGAGACTAAGAAAGAGCAATGGATGTTAGTGAGAAGCTTTTTGGAAAAGCATGTTAGACTACCTAAATAGATTCAGAACGTATGCAAGTAGGGAGGGAATATGTGTTTAGGTCTGTCTTCAAAGTCAGTCTGTTTTAAATAAATCTGAGACATACATATGATAGGAATGGAATGAAAGCATAGGAAATGTGTCTAGCTTGATAGCTGAGTTTATGAGTTTGGCCCAGCTGGTTTATACAAAGCTGTATGTGGATTTAATAATTTTTTTCTAAGGTACTCGGATACCATGGTGATGAGTGCATATGGGGAAAAGGACTCACTGACAGTCCAGAGAAATTACATATATCACTTTGTGAACATCTTGTAAATCCTGAGGGGGGTGTCAAAGCCATTAATTATTGTGTCCAGTATTATTGCCACTACAACCATATAAACTGAGTTGCTATTAAATTGGTTAAAATGTAGACATGGTTTCAGTTGTTAATTTTCAAGTTAAAATTTTAAGCTGAAATAACAATGTCCCCAGTAGAATTTGTATTTGGATCAATGGAATATAGAACATAAAAAAATAAAATCTGGATCAAGGTTTCATTTGGGGATTTTTGTATATGAACTTTATGCTATAGCAGAGACAAAGCAGTTAATGGCCAGAACATCTCCTTCTCCAGTTTTGACTAAATAATTGACCAGCAACAGCTGGCATAAAAGACTGCAGCTCAAGTTGGGTAGGGTTGCTATGAGAGAGCTTGGGGAGTACTTCAAAGAGCTCTTCAGCAGCTGCTGCTACCTTCTAAGAAGCCCCTAGGGAACATACCCAGAAGACCCCTGTCAAGTAGGGTAAGCTGTCTGGGAAACAGCTACGAGACCATCCCCTAAAGCACAAAGCAGAGGGGAAAGCCAGTCTTTCTAAAACGCAAATTATTAATCCTAAAGGAAGACTGCAATAAAGAGGAATAAAGAAAAAATGGCCTGGACTTCAAGGACCAGCAGAGTAAGGTCTTATAGGACTGGAGTCCCTTAATGAATCTGGGAACAAACCCCTTCACAAGTGGTGCTTAGAAGTAGGATCTTGACTGCAGCACAAACTCCACTGGTGGTGCCAGAAGCCTAGGTCCCAGTCTCATTGACATTAAGGCCCACTCTTGAAACCCTGTAATAACTGGGAGGGCTCCCACAATATCCCTTTTCACCTCTGACCCCTAACTAGGATTGTAAAATTCATCCCCTTTTGCAGGCCAGATTTTTCCCACTGGGAGAACATCTGGACCCTAAGCAACAGATGCAGGTATTCCATTTGGTAGTGGACTTGGGTGAAGATATTTGGAACTACTTGGTCAGGTGAACCTCATGTTTCACTAGGCAGAGACTAAACTTGAGAACTAATTGTGTTAAGCCCTGTAACCACTTCCTGAGGAGATATAGCTAATAGTCAAGGAAGTGCAGAGGATGAAGGATATGGAGATCATCGTTGCAGTGTGAGTGATGAAACTACGTTGATTTGTTCCCCCAACCTAAGTCTATGACAGGGGTGTCATACAGCCCATGGATCTGAATCTGGTCCAGGGTCTGGATTCAGTCCATGGAGTCTCTCAGTCCAGCCCACAAGCCACCAGAAGTTGGGAACATGGCCTGCTATGGAATTCAGGGCCTTTTGGCTGCCAGGGCCGCTGGCTGCAAACTTGGCTTGCCACCACCACTCCCAAACCTCTTCCTTGGACACGTGGCCACCTCTGGATCCCTCCTGCTACTAGCAGATCTCCACTTCCAGATTGCTGACTCTACAAGATCTTTCAGACCTGCTGCTGCTAGACCCACCACTGTGGTAGTCATGGCAGCCACTCCCATACCCTGGGCTGGATCTGACCCATGATGAGCCCTACAGTCCAGACCCAGCCTGGGGCCCCAAATGAGTTTGACACCCCTGTCTATACAAAGCTACTTAGTCAGGCTTTGTATAGACTTTAGAAAAATAAACACTACGTTGAAGTTTGATACCTACCATGAGAAAAACGACTTAGAAAGATTAAGCAAAGTCCATTATGTCTTCACACTAGGCCTAACTAGAAGCTACTAGCAGATTCTTCCTGGCTAGAATATTGTCCATGAATGGCCCTTCAGTCATCTTTAAATGTAGAACAACTTGCTTTGGATTTCATGGAGCCACTTCAACTTTCCAGCACCTGGTAGGAAAAATCTATGGTCCCATTCAAAAAATGTGCCTGTTTTAAGTGGCGGAGTAGTTTTTATAGTACCTCATATAGAAAGGCACAGAATGAAATCCCCTCACACTATGATTTCTTTGAACATGTATCAGGACTATATAAAATACTTCTACTCCACTAGGAGAGAACATGAAATCAAAGTTGGCTGTTTTAGTTCAATGAATACCTCAGTTTCGTGGCATGGTAAGTCAATCAACTTTAGAGTTGGGTGAATATATCAAATTCTGAAACCCCTTCCAAGATACTGAAGTGAGTTAGAATGAAGAAAAATTTTGAGATTATTGCCAATCACATAACTCAAGCATGAAATGCTTGTCAGGGAGCTCCACAGCAGTTAATTGTTTTCCCCAGGAGTACAGCTTCTCTTGAAGGATACTAATCTATCTGTGTGTGTACTTGTCAGAGGAATTTTCACTTAACCATCACCTGTGTGCCTTTGTACATTTCCCTGCAGTCACAAATAACTGAGCAATTTCTTATTCCAATGATTTCTGTTTTCAGAGGGTGGAAAGGGTTGTCTTGTGGTGATTACTGAATAATCTGTTGGTATTTAGTGGTCATGTTGGCTAGAGACACTACATTTCCAGATCATCTTGCTCACAGAAAACAATAGCAATGCAGAAAAGTCAACTATAGAAGGAGGCTAATAACAATTTCAGTATTGTTGTTAAACATCAAGATAAGATTTAAATTACTTCTCCAATTTTTCACTGGTTACTATACAGTTAAGATGTATTATGGAGATTTATTCTTTTCATGCATGGACTGGGAACATTGCTGAACAATCTGAGGCTCATGGGATTAAGAGTGATTTGGAGCATAGCTCCCGAACCCAACTGTCTAATGTTAAGCTAGAGTGGTTTGTGTCTGCCAGCATACCTTGAGATGCTATCATTTTTTTTTCTGTTTCCTTCAACAACTTTGTATACATATGGTGCTCTGCACAGCAAAGACTGTACTACTCTGAGAAAGAAAGAGAGAGAAGTACTTTGAAAATCTTATACAAACACACTGCTTAAATGACTAGAAAGGGAATCAGTTTTAACCTAGTAATCAATAAACGTGATATACAAAACATGATGTGGACCATAAATTATGCTGATTTCTTTTAATGAACTGAATTCTGTATTTTTGTATAAAATGGGCAAAGGAAGAAAGTTGTAACTGTAGCAAGCATACATCCAGAACCTGATTACTGGTAGACCAAACTTACTGTTGTTCATGTATGCCAGTCACTACAAATTGTGGCATGAGGTGAAAAAGGAGACAGCTTCTATGAGGCAATATTATACATATTGTTACTGAATAACATGGGCCTCTTTGTGCTTACTACACAGAATGGATATGAGCTACAGGGTGAAATATGAAAAGCTACCCATGTGTCATTCTTCCTAGCAGCTAATGTACTGGCAGCTGTTGGCTGTTGAAATTGGCATTCCATAACCACACTAAGTTTATGGACTATGAACCTTGGGAAGACCTTTAACCTTGTCTGAGGACCAGTAGAGTGAGTGGGGTGGTATACAAAGAGATGTATTGCCATTCCAGTGAATCAGCAACTTCAGGTCCAATATGTAGCTACATTTTTGCGTGTAGCAGAAGATTCTGTCAATTTGACTGACTTTTTTTAAAGATATGCTGTGCAAAGAAGATTGTAGTTGCTGGGGCAGGTGTGCAGTTAGAATCCCCTCCAGCAACTGGGAGTTAATAAACCATCAAAATAATTTACTACAAAAATTACTTTTAAGGATTTTTCATAGTTAAAGATTTTCACTTTCTCTCACCATGTTGAAGTAATAGCTGTTCATTATTTTTAAAATGAGACAAACAACTGAGTCACACAAGTGGGAAATATGGTAGTTTACTTTTGCCTCTTTTCTTCACACTTTACTAACAGATAATTCTGTAGTCACTATTAATCATTCATGCTATTCAAATACTGCACTTGCCACACTGCTTCAGCCCATGTTAATCAGACCCATATGTATTAGCTACACCCTTGTTCCCTCAGAACTATTGCATTTCTTGAATATGTGCAAGGCATTATGGTTTATAAAACTTTTTATAATTTTGTTTTACAGATACAGATTTTTTCCATATGTTTTCATTTTCTTTTGTACTGATTATTTTTACTTTGATAATTTTTCCCAGTTTAGTTCCCAATTATATTTGGATAGTTATAAATGACATTAGTTAAATAGTCTGTTTAATATCTTCACCAATGACCTGGAAGATAGCATAGAGTACACCCTCAGCAAGTTTTCAAATGACACCAAGCTGGGGGGAGTAGTAGATATGCTGGAGGGTAGGGCTAGGATTCAGAGTGACCTAGACAAATTGGAGGACTGGGCCAAAACAAATCTCATGAAGTTTAACAAGGACAAGTGCAAAGTCCTGCACTTAGGATGGAACAGTCCCATTTACCAGTACAGGTTGGGGGCTCACTGACTGGGCAGCAGCTCTGCAGAAAAGGACCTGGGAGTTACAGTGGACAGTAAGCTGGATGTGAGCTAGCAGTGTGCCCTTATTGCCAAAAAGGTTAATGGCATACTGGGCTTTGTCGATAGGAGTGTTACCAGCAGATCAAGGGAAATGATTCTTCCCCTCTATTCAGCACTGGTGAGGCCACATCCGGAGTACAGTTTTGGGGCCCCCCACTACAGAAAGGATATGGTCAAATTGGAATGAGTCCAGTAGAGGGCAACAAAAATGATGAGGGGCTTGGGGCACATAACTTATGAGCAGTGGCGGGGACTGGGGGGCACCAGGTGAAGCACCAGTGGTACTTCAAGGAGTGCCATGGCCGCTTCCGGGAGCACCACTTGCACTTCCTGGTCTGCACAATCTGCTACAGGGCCCTCTGCCCCCTCCCCCCCAGTCACTGACTGGCTGCTGGGGGGGCATGTGCCCCCTGACTCAGGTGGCACCAGTCATCCATGCTTATGAGGAGAGACTGAGGGAACTGGGCTTATTTAGTCTAGAGAAGAGAAGACAGAGGGGATTTCATAGCAGCCTTCACCTACCTGAAGGGAGGTTCCAAAGAGGCTGGAGCTAGACTGTTCTCAGTGGTGTCAGAACAGGTACAATGGTCTCAAGTTGCAGCAAGGGAAGTTTAGGTTAGATATTAGAAAAAACATTCTCACTAGGTGGGTAGTAAAACACTGGAACAGGTTACCCAGAGAGGTTGTGGATTCTCCATCCTTGGAGGTTTTTAAGACTCAGCAAGACAAAGCCTTAGCTGAGATGATTTAGTTTGGGATAGTACTGGTTTGAACAGGGGGTTGGACTAGATGACCTCCTGAGGTCCCTTCCAATCCTAATTTTCTATGATTCTATGGGAGAAAAATATATTGAAGTTGGATTTAATACTTAGTGAGAAATCTTGGTGTTCAAATCTTATTTTGGGGGGAAGTAATAGAACTTTCATCATCTGAGTATTCTAAAACTAGTCACTGGGAGCTTGCCTACATTGAAAAGTTACCTTGTATTAAGCTAGGGTGCAAATTTACAATGTGTTAGATAATCTGCACTAATTAGTATAAAGATATCTTTGTGTGAGGTAGCTTGTTGTAATTTGAAAGTGGAGCATGAAGATTGTGTGCAATGTTAATGCAAAGTACCTAGCAAGCTATAGATCCACACCCTAGCTCATTGTGCAACAGCTTCCTTGTGTAGTCAAGTCCTGAGTTTGCAGTGCTATAAGCGAGAACAGGGGGCAGTCTGATAGACTTGTCCATCCACTTTCTATTTGCCTTCTGTAATGAAATTGATAGTGGGAAATGTTAACTATTTCCAATGCCGATTTACTAAGGGAAGGAAAATAGAAATCAGCTGTTGAGCCACAAGCTGTGCTGAGGCCTACGGACAGAAAGTTACACATAAACCAGTTTAAGTGATCAGAAACTGATTTAAATGAGTAACAGAACAGAAGTTCAGTGCACATAAACTGCTTTCAAAATGGCCAGAACTTGTTTAAGATAAACCTTGTTGAATGCAGTTTCAAACTTAACCAACTTAGCTCAAACCAGTTTAGGGAACTTCTGCCCCAGACCCGTTCCTAGTTTAAGTTCTCTCACAGTACCCCAGCATCCCAGGATGCTTTGCAGCCCTGAGCTGGGCTGTGCTGTGCTATCTGCTCCAGCAGAGCAGAGTTGGCCCCACTCCTTTGCTCCCCAGCTGGAGCACTTTCACTGCTCCAGCTGGCTGAGAAGGGGCTGGGGTGGGAAACCCTGCTCTGGACTGCAGCCCATGCCAGGCTTTTCATCACTCGGGGGTGAGGGTATGGCCAGACCCTAGGCCGTCTAGACCCCTGAGGCAAAGTTGGGGGTGGGGAGTGGGAAATTAATACTTCCTCCCTCCCCTTTACCACCAGCACAGGACCCCAGCTGGGGCCTGCCTGGCAAGAACACAGCAGCCCCTGCCAGGCTTTTCCCTGCTTGCCACTTCAGCAGTAGGGGTAAGCCTGGCAGGGGATACTATGTCCTTACCAAATGGGATTTTCCTAGCTGGGGTCCCATGCCAGTGGGAAGGAGTAGGGAGGGAGGTTTAAACCCCCCTACCACACCTCCTTCTCAGGGTGCCACCACCAGCTGGCATCTGCCCATGCCCCACTCCTGCTGCTTGAGCCGTGGGCAGGGAAAGACCTGGCTGGGCTGCTTCCCCCATTCTCTTCCAGGCACGCCCCGGCTGGGAACCGTGGAGGCCAAGGTGGCACTTTAAACCCCTCCCCAGTCATACTCAGCTGCCTGTCAGGGCCTGATCATGCCCCCTCCCCCCTCCCCCCCCCAGCTCAAGCAGGGAGTGGGGAAGGGAGGAAAAGCCTGGAGGGCTTCCCTCCAGCCTTTCTGCCACTGCAGAAGGGAAGGGAGGGCTCACTGCAGTGCCCCCCAGCATCTGGCCTGAGCCACTGCAGGCATGTGGCTGTATTTCTGGAATCAAAAGTGAATGTCTATTCACTTGCTTGCCAGTTCTATGCAGTTTAGACTAACCTGCAAAGATTGAATCGATTCAGGCTCGGGCCTTTTGAATGTCTGTGTTTAGCCTAAAAATGTAGCCAGGCTCCCAGATATTTCAGGGAACATTTAGAACTTTGATATAGAAGGTGTATTTATAGCCCTTTCCTAAGTATCTTTGACCTAAAATGGACTGGTTTACACATGTAAGGTGATCTTGCTTACATCCACCATCAAAAACAGTGTTTTAGAAAGAGCATTTAAAAATCAACAAGCTATATTCTAATAGCCATAAACTACTTCAGGGTATGCATTAGTGAGCACTTATTTCTTCAAGGCAGGAGGTCAAATATATCTGCAGAGTGCAACATTAACCTACCAAAGTAACTCATTTCTATACCATGACATGACAAGAGGGCAATCATAATTGATGGTGCAGCATTACAAGCTGTACAGAAGCAGGAATGAGGGAAGAAATCACTTGCAGATCCAACTCATGTTACCAGGTGCCTTGTAAAAGGAAATACTGCCCACAGAGGCAGGTGACAGGGCTTCCAGCCATGGGGGCGCAGTATGTGCTTCCATGCCTGGGAGCCCCTTCAGCTGCAGGTAATAAGGCTTATGGGATCTAATGCTTGATCCCACAATAATACCTCCTACCAGGCATGTGTGGCATGGTAGGAAGCCGATTTGTGTGGATCACACATCAGATCACCTTGTGCTTTTTATCGCCCCAGCTGGCAGGGGTGTAAGACTAATGTAAACTGTAGTATGGGCTAATTCTTTTGTCATACACATTTCATACTGATATAACTGGCATCGGTAGAGTTAATCTTGATTTATATTGCTATAAGTGGGAGTAGACTGGGGTCCTACATGTTTAATAAAAATCAGCAATACTATATTATCAGTTCCCTCTTGTTGCAGTCCTCATATGGGATTGTCATGGTGCTTTGCGGTATTGCTGTGAAATACCCAAACATTTAATTTCTGGAGTTATTAAACTGTATATTTTTTATCATTTCATCCTCACAATTAAGTGATTCATCTAGTGATAAAAAAAGAATATGGAATGAAAATGTAAAGCTGTGTACTCATTTTTGGCTCAGAGTGCCACTTTATATTCATATCAATTTCATGGCTGAAAAGATATGGAAAACAAGAGTGGGACAAATAGTTATTTTAAAATTGTTTATTAAACCATATAAACAAATACAGTTAACCCAGACATGGTATATTTTCAAGGGCTTGTCTTCACTGCCACATTGGAGTGAGAGCAGAGTGAAAGAGAAGCATTGAGATACAATACCACTGCAAGGCAGGGTAATTGGGAAGTAGTTGATGAGGTTTTCAACTCCAGTCGCTGCATTTCCACTCTATCACTAGCTGGAGATTCAGCATCACTAGCTTGTGTCTAGAGCAGCACTTAACTCAAGCTAAACATTTTTGTGCTTAGGAAGGAGTCACTAATACTTAAGTTACAGCTTGAACTTACATATGCAGTGAAGATGAGCCCTCTATAAGAAAAAGAATATGAAGACTGAGTAAACTGGTAACTGAAGGGAGGGACAGTATATATAGTAGAACATATAGTAGAACATCAGGCCTAAAGTCAAATCTTGCTCTCAGTAACCCTGCTGAAAATGGAGAGGATAAGAAAAAGGAGGTGGGTTCTTTCACCTATGAAATCTTTGGAGATCTTTACCCCCTGAAATTAATGGAACTGAGAAAGTTTGCCCTTTGTTTTCAGTCACTATTCTGTATTTTGTCAGTAATAATCTACCCAGGACCTCACCAACAAGCTGTTTCCTTAAGTGCTAATAACTTTTCAAGGCAATCAAGACTTGTAGTAGAGACAATATCTTTTATTAGGCCAACAAGATTTTTGCAAAAAAATTCTTTAATTGCAAGCTTTCGGGCACAAACACCCTTCATTAGGCATTGGAGAAAAGATTGTAAAAGTTCTCGTGGGTAGAAATGTAAGTTCATATTTCATAGGATTTCATAGAGGAGTCCATAGATGAAAGACTCCTTTGGGCAATCGGTTCATAGTTGGTATGAAGCGTCTCATCTCCTGTGAGGTTCTGTGATGATGCAAATGACCTTGAAACAAAGGCAGGAGCAGGATCTCAGGTTTCAGGTGGTCACAGTTGTTTCCTGCTTGGGAAAATATGAAGATTTCATTTTTAAAAATCAGCTAAAATTCAATATCTTCCATATGTCAGATATCCAGGTTGTAGCTGTATTGGTCTGAAGGAAAAGGCAATCAGGACTCGTAGTAGAGATGATATCTTTTTTTTTTAAACCAACAAAATTTTTGCAAAAAAAGTCTTTAATTGCAAGCTTTCGGGCACAAACACCCTTCATCTGGTATTGGAGAAAAGATTGTAAAAGTTCTCCTGGGTAGAAATGAAAGTTGTTTGCAAAAATCTTGTTAGTCTAATAAAAGATCTCAACTCTACTATGGGTCCTGATTGGTTTTTCCTCTAGACCAATATGGCTATAACCTGGATACCTGACACATGGAAGATATCGAATTTTAGCTGACTATTAAAAAATGAAATCTTCATATTTTCCCAAGCAGGAAACAACCATGACCATCTGAAACCTGAGACTCTACACCAGCTATGAACTGATTGCCCAGAGGAGTTTTCTATCTATTGACTACTCTGTGAAATCCTATGAAATATGGGCTTTCATTTCTACCCAGGAGAACTGTTACAATCTTTTCTCCAATGCCTGATGAAGGGTGTTTGTGCCTAAAAGCTTGCAATTAAAGAAAAAAGTTTTGCAAAAATCTTGTTGGTCTAATAAAAGATATCATCTTTACTATGAGTCCTGATTGCATTTTCCTCTAGACCAACACAGCTACAACCTGGGTACCAAATAACTTTTCAAGTATTATAAACTTTTTCTGTCTCACCTTTTTCCATTGGTGAGCTCTATTTATCTAACTTGTGTTTTGTATTCTATTCTCTTTTATTTTTCTATATTCTACTGATTATAGTATTTTGAATTCATTTACTTTAATAAATATGTTGCAATATGTTACATCTGGCAAATGCCCTGATTTCCAAAATAGCTAAGTACATTACAATAATTGCATACATTATTTCTATATTTCCATTGCTAATTG